TTGATCCAATGTGGAGACAATGTACTTTTAAATGTGTGGCGACTCCTTTTAAGTATATTGATTTTCAAATATGAAAAATAACAAATCTATCAGTACTCGGGTTGGCCCATCTTACGCTCGCCTTCCATCTTGCATCAAGCGAGATATAGGAATAAAATCCTATATAATCTCGTCTTTGCGTCAGACTGTAGGCGTTTCGCACATGAGCGACTGAGCCGGGCCGACCCAGTTAACGCTTCGTAGATTCGACGTTGGTTCCGGTTCTGTGAACCTTCAAGAGGTTCGAACCAGGGTTCTTACCAGTTTTGGAAGGTTCTTTATTTTTATATTTTCTGTTGTTTTCTTCACTGATTTTTTTATTTTTTGTTTATTTTCTTATATATTTTTCACATATTATAAAAATATTGTAATTTCCAAAAAAAATCAAAAAATAGAATAAAGTTTTTGTGTTTTCAAAAGAGTTCTACAAAATATTCACCTTTAAGAAAAGTTTTGAAAAAGGGTTGCATTTTTTAAAAACTTTGAAATTTTGAAAAACAGTTCGTGTTTTCCAAAAAATGTTCATGTTTCCAAAAAAAATCTGAAGTTATAAAAATATAGGGGTTTAAAAAAATATCAAATTTTTAAAAAATATTCGTGTTTTCGAAAAATGTTAAGGTTTGTGTTTGAAAAAAGAAACAGAATTGGAGAAATGTTCACGTTTTAAAAATATCAAAATTTTACATATTGTTCGTGTTTTCAAAATTCAAAAAATTGCTTCGTTTTTCCGAAAAAATGTTCAGTTTAAAAAAAAAACGTTCGCTACAATGCTCGATCTCTGTTCGCTAGAAAGCACGTACGTCTCGCTCCTGGCTCGTGCAAAGAGCGTCAAATAGGAGGTTCTACATACAGAGCTCCTATTTTTTCTTCTCTTAGTAGGCAGCTCTACATGTGGGCCATTGAGGAGACTCTTGGTTTGAGATGAGCCATGTCCTGTTGGGCCTGGATGCTAATGGGTCATGTCTGTGGGTTTGATTGCACGTGTGCACAGAATGTATTACAACGGGTCCCTTAGGCCACTTCCAATGCATAGGTGCTTAGATAAGGTGCTAAGCATATTAAAAAGTTTAGCAACTAATGTTCACAATGCATAGGTGCTTCACTTTCTGGTGCTAAGCTCCCCTCATGTAATGCTTTAACAACTAAACTATTTCATGCATTGGTGGGTTTCTTTCATTTAATTGCTTTTGCCTAGATTCACGTGCTTGGCACTCTCTCCTTTTTATTACCTTTCCACATCAGATTTTTTGCCTACATGGCAGCCTTAACACATGTACAAGAGGGAGCATTGAGGAGGGCCTTAGGACTGCTTGACTGCTCGTTTTTTAACACAGTACAGAGGCGCTCATATATACGCGCATACACTCACCCCTATGAACGCACACACGCACACCATACCCCTATGAGAACCTCTGAGAGACTGAGCTGACATATCGTATTGAGATTTATGAAGTCACCGTAGGCGACTTGTAGTCGACGGGAACGTCTCCTCCCACTGAATTCGCATCGCCGAAAATTCTGAAATAAATCCAGAATAAATGCGAGCACCCGGACTTGAAACCTGGTGGGCTGGGATACCACTGTCCTCCTAACTATCCAACCACAGGTTGATCCGCACAATTCGTTTTGAGTATGCAGCCTGCGTTACCCACTAGGGCATGGGCACAACCAACGGTGAATGGCGGCCCTCGACCAATGAGGCGATGCCACAACTGGCTATAGCAACTTGGCGAGGTTGTGGTCAATGGGGCCCGTCAACCAAGGCGAGGCCGTAACAACAACTGGGCCGGTGTGCAAATGGTGCCCAAGAAGAAGAACAAGTACGTGATGGAGTTTTTTAAAAGGTACACAATGGAAGATATATTTTTATTGTTGTTGACTATTATTGGACTAGAACATGTATTTCCGACTTTTATACATATGTACTGCTTTAGTACATACTAGGAATCAAATAAGGTAACATTTACTGTTCTTTTTTGTGCCAACTTTCTTCTGTCTCGGCTCCCTGAATTCTAAGTGAACTTTTATTTCTCTTTACTTTGTGGAGTTGAGATATTTCTTGAACAGATGCAATGAAACATCTGTAAGTCAAGCCAACATATCACACGATAGATTATTGACGTTGTATAATCTATATGCTTTTAAAATCTACTATATGTATGGAATCATGTCATATCTCATTTAAAATGGCCACATTAGTTCTAGAGCAGAAAGAATCAACATAGTGCCGACGTTAACAATGGACAACATTACACGAACCATGGATCCAATCAACATACAAGATACATTTGATGTTTAAATAACTGGTGGCTATAGTTACAGAGATACAACTCCAGATTAACCTCATGAATTGCCCATTCTCTAAATATATTTCGTTCACAATGCGGTAAAAACAACAACAACAACAATAATAATATAATAATATTAATAACAACAACAACAACAACAACAACAATAACAATAATAATAGTAGTAGTAGTAGTAATAATAATAATAATAAAGTAAGTCACCGGTATAAACAACTCTTGTTGGGCGGGGTCCAATAATCCGGGCCGTTGCTATCCATGTACATCTGGGGCGTGCGGGAGAGTGGAACCAAGCACAACCCCCTACTCTTTAGGTCAGTCTCTGCATCTTCCTTCTCCCTCCCATCAGACCGTGCCCATGGCTTGTAATCCTAAGGAAAAAAAAGGAACGACAACATAGTGTTATGTGAATGGAAACATTGTTATGTGTCAGGTGTATCAACCATAAAATTTCCACACGAAACTGAAGAAGTTTGATGATGGCTGTGGATGGAAAGTGGGCTTATTATATCATTATTACTTTTTTTTGCGAGGAACTGGAAAAAGTTATAAAAGTATATTTTAGTCAAAGGGTTTAATAATTCATATGTAGATTTTGTGGTTTTACCTTGCTACTACACGACTTCATGTAAGGCTCACTCAGCAGCTGCATGCAACAGACAACGAAATAGTAAGTCAAACAGAAACAAAAGAAATGTTGATTCCCAGATAGACATGGAGAAAGTTTTCCATGTCGTATATCATGAACTGATAGAGCCAAACTACAAAAGGAGGTAGCAATGGGGCATGACCATGCATTCCATTACACAAAAGCAGCAACACTAGTGGCACTCATGCGGTGCTAAATACGAACAAAGCAAGGCTACCATGGGGGGCCCTCCAAAAAGGGGGTGCATGAATAAATTCATCAGCTATGGGCTTGTCGCTTGTGGCGCAACACGTGTCCCACAATAATTGGCTGCTTGGCATGAATATTCTCCTCTAACTAATATTGAGTGCGGTTGCGAAACATCCCTCTTGACAAATAAATAATTGCAGTGATTATCTTGCACGAGTCAGGAAAAGGATGGTAGAAAGCCCTCCATTATGAAAATGTGTTAAGGACATAAAGCTTCCACATCCTTTTAGTGATCATGTTTTTTTTGAGAATTTTTTAGTGATCATGTTGATTAAATAATCCTCACCAAGCATATGCGTTATGTAAAGGGATACACATGCTATTATATTAATTACTCCCGGCCCAAATTAATTAAGGCATATCAAGTTCAGAGAGATAGATTAAAATTCTAATAAACCTTAAAAAAACTACTCCCTCTCCCATTCATATTAATTGTTGCAGACTTAGTAAGACTTAGTACAAAGTTAAATGTATTCTCCTCTTTGTAAAACTACGAACACTCACGAGATCGGAAGCAAAACTAAATTACCTGCACTTGCTCATGCAACCACTTAATGTAATTTATCGCCTCATATAGAACTGATGCGGTATCGGTCTGTACAAAGGATGAACAATTTCAGTATTGCTTTTTTTTGCCTTCTGGCATAATTGTAGTGTAAATAAACATCAAACAGAAATGAACAACCGAACACACATATGTGCTTCAACACACCTTCCCAAATGGTGAAACCATCTGTTGAAGTGCAGTTATCTTGTGTCCTAACTTTACTTTAGGCATCTGGCCCTGTTAAATGGAAGCCTAATTAACTCATTAAGCAATGATAGTCTCATGAATGAAGAACCGGCAGTTTAAATTGGTTTGGGGAATTTGGTATCATAACATTGTTTCGTTAAGCTACGCGCAACCTTTTCACGGTGAACAAAGCATGCATAGCCCCTCCATTCAAATGAATAAGGCCCCTCCATTCAAATGAATAAGGCACACACGTTTCACAAACTCCAACTCTGATCACAAATTAGATTAATAATATCTATCTTTTGTGACATAAAAAATGTATCACGGAAAACTTCTTCAATACGAATTCATTGGTATAATTTTATTCACATATAATTCACATTTAGTTGGTAAAATTTCTGGTCTTGAAATTCAAGATGTGTGCACACCTTATTCATTGGAATGGACGGAGTATATGTTAAGCCATCATGTGTTCAAAGCATGCATATACGTTAAGCTATCATGCATGTAGTACTGCTTGTGATAAATATTGCTCTAAAAAATAAAGATTTAGTAATGAGCAGTCTAAATACTGGTTGAACTCATGCATGCATGCATGCATGCATGTCCCAATGGCGGATCAACCATGCACGCAAATAAGTAAAAGAGTGTAACACTGCCATACTTTGGGAGACGACGACGTGGGCGAGCAGGACTCGTGCTTGGACTTCTTCACGTTGCCTTCCGATCCCCTCTCCTCTTCCGCTCTCTTCTTCCCCTTGGTGGATAGCGCACTACTCCCCTTGCCACAGACGCCGCTGGCGCTTGTCTTCTCCTACGCATGCACACAAGTACAATATCATACATCGATCAGATGTCTCTGGCCTTGATCTTGCATGCATGTTTTTCTTACAGTACCGGCGACGACATCTCCCGCCCTTGCTTCTTGTACTCCGCCGACGACGTCTTCGCCGGGGAGCCGGAAGGCACAGGCTTTCCCATGCCCCGGCCGAACGATATCAAGCCCGACAGGCTCCTAGGGTCGCGACCATCATTTCTGCCCCACCGAACGTCCATGGCAACGTCATAAGCGCCGGCGCCGCCTCCATACATTCTGTTGCTGATGAGCCCTTGCATGGAGCTGTACCCCAGCCCGATGGGCCTCGTGAAGTCTTGGCTGCTGGTGCATCTGGTGCTGGCCGCTTCCTGCAGTATCGCGCCGTGGCCGCCCCCACCCATCTCGTGCTTGACGTTGCCGTCCGCGTCCAGGAAGAGGGCCTTGACAACGTGGCCCATGGCGGCGGCGTTATCGCATGGCCCGGAGCCGCCAAGGCGTTGGTGGTGGCCGCTGTCTCCGTGGCACGGGTTGGGCGGCGCGATGGACCAGTAGCCAGCGCCGGAGGCGGAAGGGAGGTGCTTGTCCATATTGGCAGCGCTGAACTGGTGGACGTCCGGCCATGCGCTGCCGCCACCGTACTCCATCTTCTTGAGATAGTCGCAAGCCGGCGGCTCGGCAAAGAGCTCCGTGGCGAGCGTCCTTGAGTTTAGCAGCTCAAGGAAGTTCTCGCTGTCGTCGTTGTGGGCGTCATGCACCACCTGCATGCTCCCCGCGACCTCGCCGCCGGTGCCCCTGAGTTATTCTCCAATAGAGGTAATTGAAAGGTGAACAAAAAGAGAAAGTGCACAACGGTACTTCTGCTTAATTAAATTAGTTTATGCACCTAGTCTTGCTTATTGTTCCTCAAACGAAAAGGTCTTTGCTTCTTTGTCATCTATCATTTGGCAATCAATTGCAGAGTTGAAAGCGAGAATGTAAAGAGGGATCATCTTTGGGAATTGGATTGAAGTAGTACTTTTCTAGCTAGCTCCTAGCTACTCCCTCCGTTCCAAAATAGATGACTCAATAGTTAGTACAAAGTTGAGTCATTTATTTTGGAACGGAGGGAGTAGCAAGCAAGGGACCTGAATGCTTTGATATGGTACAACTTTCTGGCAGTCCGTACTAAACAAGCGAATTTTAGTTGTTTCTTCAAAGCCTAGGAAATACTTACTCTGTCCTATTCCTATAATATAAGAACATTTTTCAAACTAAAATAGCTTGAAAAACATTCGCATATTACGGGACAGACGGAGTATATTCAAGCTTATACATTACTCCTTTCGTATCAAAATATAAGATATTTTTTGACACTTTTATAGTGTTAAAAAATGTCTTGTATTTTGATACAAAGGGTGAGGGATAATACTAGACACTAGACAGATTGGAGCATTTATGCTTTGGAGGCCTAACAAATTTTGTTCCAGCAGCAAGCGATCTCACTTATGTTGATTCCAATGTGATAGTTGCCTCACTTGCAACTCTACTTAATACTCCCTCCGTCCCAAAATAAGTGATTCAAATTTATACTAACTTTGTATTAAGCTTAGTACAATGTTGAGTCATTTATTTTAGGATGGAGAGAGTATTAATTAGGTTTTGACCGAAAATATTTTACGGAACCATGGTTCAGCCGAACCTACGCTGGACACCATTGATTTTTAGACACTATTCATAAAGATCTATGCATGGTTGATTAAAAAATGCAGTTGTCATGCATGTCTATTCATGAGGATCCATGCATGGTTGATTAAAAAATATAGTTGGCATGTATATCACAGATCCACATGTAGTAGGATGTTAAATCGTACTGCATAGACCATAGGTTCGGCTGAACCATGGTCCTGAATCACGTCGAAAATATTTTACGGAACCATGGCTCAGCCGAACCTACGCTGGACACCATTGATTTTTAGACACTATTCATAGCATGGTTGATTAAAAAATGAAGTTGTCAAAGGGTGGAACCTATTTATCTAGCTAACTCGAGGCAGAGACGTAAACCAAAAGTCCCTTCTAGATTTGCATTGTCGGGATTAATTACCTTTCCCATATCACACTATTTGAAAAGCTAACTAGCTAGCTCCTTTTTTCCTTGCTTTGCTTTGCTTTAGTTCGTCTCTTGCTTTCCCTAGCATGCTGCCACTGACTCTCTAGAATCTAGAGCATAGACTACAACCTATCACACTCATACGTAATACATATTCTTTCTATTTTTCTTTTTCTTCTCTGTATTAACAAGTGTGTGTAGTGTAGCTTGGTACAGGGAAGGGGAATAGAGATGAGAATTAAGCAACAAGGTTATTTAGATTGATCGAAATTAGAATCACACTAGCTAGGTAGAGGTAGACAATATATACTCTCGAGATTAGAATCTAGGCAAAGCGAGGCTCCTTTCTTTTTCTTTCGGACAACAGATAGTGGACGCATGCCGTCTTTTCACGCCCGGGCCGGGCCGGGCCGAGCCTTCGAATATGCAAATATTACTATTACGGTATTACCCCCCGAATATGCATCTAGTGATATGGTCCTGCTGTACTCACATGGCGACTTGGTTCCAGAGGTGGCTCTGCACGGCCGCAGTGGCGGCTGAGGAGTCGTCCATGCTGATGCCGGAGTGGTTGGTAGAGGTCTTGGTGAAGGAGGTCTGCATGGTGGCGTTGGAGGCGGACAGATCATCGGCGGCGCCGGAGGAGGATGTCTTGTGTTGAGCGAGCGGGGTCCAGAGCGGCGTGGCCGCTGTGGCGGGCGGCGGCGGCCAAGCAGGGGTAGTGGAATAGGGATGCATGTCGCGCCACCAGAAAGCCGAAGATGGAGGGTGCGGCGGTGAGCTCGCGACGGAGGCCTGCGAGCTCTCCTGGGCCATGCACTACGTACCTGCTGCTGCAAGGCAATTAAGTAGGCTTCCTTCCCTCTTCTTGGGCGGGCGTGTGACGGCCGGGGTAGAGCTAGGAAGGAGAGAGGAGGCCGGGGGAGGAGGAATTTGGCTTTGTCTAGAGCTGACAGGAGTTCGTGGGTGCCTGCGGGGGGCTTTATAAAGGAGGGGATGAGATGGCTATATGTGGGCGTGATGTCACACGCTCCGGAAGTCTCTTTGTTTGGACATCTCAATCCTTTCGGGACCTGGTTAAGCAATGCGCGTCACCGTTAGTCTACTACGAGTGAGCATCGGAAGTGTCACGAACTGAGAAATGTGAACACAACTTTGCGAGCGACTGGTCGGATTCCTCGCGCACGATGGCGCTACTGCCACGCCAGCGCCTAGGCTTGGCCGGCTTCGTCGCCACCACCTCCTCCTTGGCCTTGGCCATGACGCGGCTGAGCTTGACGTTTTGCTTCATCGCGAACTCTTTCAGCACCTCTGCTCGTACAACACGGATTAATGCAGAAGATTCCGTTAATCACTCTTCAGTGGAAAATAGAATAGGAAAGACGATGCTAGCAAATACTCAGTCCAGAAAGTTATTATGGATAAAGCTCCACTAAACAGCCGCGCTAGTAGTTAGAAAACGGCATGCAAGCGGACGGCGACAGGCACGAATCGCAGATTAATCCTCGTCGCGTCGCAACGTCCGCCGGAATACGTATACACGCCTAACAAGTTGACGCTGGAAAGCATTTTCGGTACGGCGCCTCAAGTGTCAATGCAAACGATCGAAGGGCTTGGAGTTATCGCACGCGACGTACCTTCGAGGCTGACGAAGCGGTAGACGCGGCCGAGCAGGAGCGTGTCGTCGGGGCCGAGCAGCTTGAGGTGCTTCACGTCCAGGGCAGCCGCGCGCGGCCGCGTCACCCACGGATGACGCGGTGTGTACGGGGTGGTGATCACGGCTGCGACGTAGTGGCCCGGGTTGGCCCCCATGACCTCCCCAGCCGGGAACGCTTAGTAGGCGAGCTGAGTGCGACCGCTGCCCAGGTGCTGGATCACCGCTACCGCCGCGTCCGCCACCTAGCAGTTACCTATGTCTGCGCACACGCAGCGCCAACACCCGGTCGTCGGCCACCTTCCCTTTCTCAAGAAACGGCTCCAGAATGCGTCCGCGCGCCTCGCTGCGTGCCCGGTCTTCTCCTTCCGCCTCGGCTCATGCCACGTCGCCGTCGTCACGCCGGCAGAACCAGGGACCATCTCCACGTCAGGCTCGCGAACCGGCCGCGTATCGCCGGAAAACCCACCGCCGGGCCCCAGCTCCTCTAGGCGCCAGCCCCCTTGTCTTCCCTCTTCGTGATCGAGATGGTAGCGCACCCATCCGCTGTATCTTCCTCCATGCCACCTGCACCACACATCTCTCTCCCGGCCAGCCACACCTCCCCCGTCCCACACCCACCTGCTGGAGCTTTTGTGCACGACCCAGCCATTGGGCAGGCGGCCACCGGGACAGCCGATACATGCCGGTAGATGACGGAGAGGGAAGATGGGAGTAGCAGGGCCGCGGTGGGGGAATAAACGGGACGCCATGGAGCTCTTTTACGCCAACTCCACCGCACGACCCCAAACGAACGTCCGGTTTGACCGGATTTTATCCCTTTGTGGCGGCAATGGGTTCGCCCATGTCCGCCTCTGCCCGTTGGATCGTGGGTGCACCCAGCGCGCGGCCGCATCCCAAATCATGTCCGTGTTGGACGTGATAAAAAAACAGAAAAACTAAAATAAAATGACTATAAAAAGTAAATAAACGCAGTTAAAAAAACTTAAAATATAATTTAGGGGTCATGGCCACAAAACAGTCCAGTTTCACGGTTCACTTAACGGTCCAGTGCCATAATTAACATAAAAACAAAATGAAAAACGCCGCCCGCGCGCTCCTGCCGCGCCCGTCGATGACGTGGCCATCGCCGTCTTCAGTGGCTGCCGGTGTCGTCGTTGTCGCTGACGAGGTCGACGTAGTCCGGCGGCGTCCAAAGGTGGGCCGGCGGTCTGTGGTGCGCCGGGGCAGGCTGGAAGGTGGCAGGTGCCTGCACCACCTCCTCCCGTGGCGACGTGTCCCACTCTGGTGACCGCGGCGGCGCGGGGCACCAGTTCACGCCCCCCACGGCGTCGGCCATCTACTATGCTGTGCACGACCAGGTCCACCCCTGGCCCACTAATACGTCTCCAACGTATCTATAATTTTTTATTGTTCTATGTTATTATATTACCCCTTTTGGATGTTTATGGGCTTTATTTTACACATTTATATCATTTTTGGGACTAACCTACTAACCGGAGGCCCAACCTGTATTGCTGTTTTTTTGCCTATTTCAGTATTTCGAAGAAAAGGAATATCAAACGAAGTCCAAACGGAATGAAACCTTCGGGAGCGTGATTTTTGGAACGAACATGATCCAGAGGACTTGGAGTGCAAGCCAAGAAGCAGCCGAGGCGGCCACGAGGGTGGAGGGCGCGCGCCCCTATCTCGTGGGCCCCTCAGGTGGCCACCGACCTACTTCTTCCTCCTATAGATACCCACGTACCCCGAAAACATCCAGGAAGCCAACGAAAAACAATTTCCACCGTCGTAACCTTCTGTATCTGCGAGATCCCATCTTGGAGCCTTCGTCGGCGCTCCGCTGGAGAGGGAATCGACCACGGAGGGCTTCTACATCAACACCATAGCCCCTCCGATGAGTTGTGAGAAGTTTACCACAGACCTTCGGGTCCATAGTTATTAGCTAGATGGCTTCTTCTCTCTTTTTGGATCTCAATACCATGTTCTCCCCCCTCTTGTGGAGATCTATTCGATGTAACTGTTTTTGCGGTGTGTTTGTCGAGATCCGATGAATTGTGGGTTTATGATCAAGTTTGTCTATGAGAAATATTTGAATCTCCTCTGAATTCTTTTATGTATGATTGAGTTACCTTTGCAAGTCTCTTTGAATTATCAGTTTGGTTTGGCCTACTAGATTGATATTTCTTGCCATGGAAGAAGTGCTTAGCTTTGGGTTCAATCTTGCGGTGTCCTTACCCAGTGACAATAGGGGTTGCAAGGCACGTATTGTATTGTTGCCATCGAGGATAAAAAGATGGGGTTTATATTATATTGCATGAGTTTATCCCTCTACATCATGTCATCTTTCTTAATGCGTTACTCTATTCTTATGAACTTAATACTCTAGATGCATGCTGGATAGCGGTCGATGTGTGGAGTAATAGTAGTAGATGCAGGCAGGAGTCGGTCTACTTGTCACGGACGTGATGCCTATATACATGATCATGCCTAGATAATCTCATAATTATTCGCTTTTCTATCAATTGCTCGACAGTAATTTGTTCACCCACCGTAATACTTATGCTATCTTGAGAGAAGCCACTAGTGAAACCTATGGCCCCCGGGTCTATCTTTTATCATATAAGCTTTCTACTTTTATTTGCATCTTTACTTTTCCAATCTATATTATAAAAATACCAAAAATATATTTATCTTATCATACTATCTCTACCAGATCTCATTTTCGCAAGTGGTCGTGAAGGGATTGACAACCCCTTTATTGCGTTGGTTGTGAGTTTTTTGTTTGTTTGTGTAGGTGCGTGGGACTTTTGAGGAGCCTCCTACTGGATTGCTACCTTGGTTCTCAAAAACTAAGGGAAATACTTAGGCTACTATTGCTGCATCACCCTTTACTCTTCAAGGAAAACCAACGCAAGCTCAAGACGTAGAAAGAAGGATTTCTGGCGCCGTTGCCGGGGAGGTCTTCGCTCAAGTCAAGACATACCAAGTACCCATCACAAACTCATCTCCCTCGCATTTACATTATTTGCCATTTGCCTCTTGTTTTCCTCTCCCCCACTTCACCCTTGCCGTTTTATTCGCCCTTCTTCTGACCGTCTTTTTGTTTGCTTTGATGTCTTACTTGGCTCGTTTACTCGTTTGGTTGGAATAATTGTGCATTTATTACTAAACAAAGAAGCTAAGATCTATGGATACTCATCTGCTTGCTAATCTTTTTAAGAGATCCAATTATGATGAACCAATTGCTAGTGAGTTTTGTGCACTAGATTATCTTTATGAAGTTTTGCTTGAAATTCGTGAATCTGAAAATTGTGATGAAGAACTTTATGAAGTGATTCACGATAGATCTTTGAATAAAAAGCATGATTGCAATGATTTTACTATAAATTCTCTTGATATGCCAAACCCTAAGCTTGGGGATGCTAGTTTTGCTATGTCTACTACTTGTTCAATGATCATGATTGGAGCGATTCTTCTTATGATCTTGAAAATTTATTTAAGCCCCATGATGAATATGAGATTGATAATAGTGTTTGCAATAATATTGAAAGTGGGGTTGGAAGAGTGTCAACTTTAGATCCCACATATTTGGAGAATGTTCAATCTTATGGTATTTTTGATAAAAGTCGGTTTAGAGAGGTCATGACTTTAGTTAATGTTAAACCCACTATTTTGAAAGAGTGACAACTTCGCATGCATGTGGATCATGTTGGAAATATTTTATGTGATAGCTATTTTGTTGAATTTTCTTATGATCCTATATGTAATTATTACGAGAGATGAAAATATGGTTGTAGAAATCTTCATGTTACTAAATTACCTCTCTTCATGTTGAGATTGCTATCATCTCTTTGTTCTTCCTTGCATATGCTAGTTTTTGCTTGCCTTGATAATTTGTTTGCTTATAAGATGCCTATGCATAGGAAGTATGTTAGACTTAAGTGTGTTTGTCACATGTTTTATGATGCTCTCTTTGTGCTTTAATTCTTGTTTTTCATGTGAGCATCATTGATATCTTAATGCCTAGCTAAAAGGGCTTTAAAGAAAAACGCTTGTTGGGAGACAACCCAATATTTTTCCTTCCTGTTATTTAATAAATTTTGCATATACCTTCTTTTTAGATGTGTTTTTATGTTTTAGTTAGTGTTTGTGCCAAGTA